ATTAAAAAAAAAAAACATAAAAGTAAAGTTTTGTAATTATTTTCAATTATCAAAAAAATCCTGTTTTATTGCTTTATTCCCAGAATTTTCCTTTTCCTTTTTTTTTGCTAGTTTCAGCACAAACATTTTTAATTGGCTCAATTAAATTTGTGTGTGTGTGAATATACATAGTTGTACCCAGCTAGCATTTTTTGAAATTTTTGATCACATTCGAGTCATTTATGACTCTTCTGCACGATTAAAATTATCATATATGCGCTAATTTTCTGATCATAAATGATACATTCGTCGGGAGAAAATGGTATCCTACCCGCGACTCTTCTAAATGAGTAATTTATGAGCCCCACTTCTGATTATTTATGACTCATTTTTTAATCTTTTTTGAGTCATTAATGAGCCAAATAACTGGTAGTTTTTGAGTTATTTCCGAATCATATTACAGTCATTTTTGAGTCCTTTTTGAGTAATTTTTATGTTTGTTGCAGACAAATACAATACAATGGAAAACAGATTTTGATTTTCCGATTGCGCGAAATATAACTACAAACTAAATTTATAAACAATCATATTTCACACACCTGGATGACCTATTTATGATTGGTATACATTTTGTTATTGTTTTTCAAAAAATTAGATTTCAAACATTAATTGGGTTATTTAGACTTAGTTTACTGATTAATCGCCCAACTATCTTCCGCAGAAGATCATTAAACACAGAAAATTATTATAATTAAAGCATAATATAATTTCAATTTCCTTGACAGAAAATCGACTTTATAAATATCACACAAATTCAAATACTTATACATTTAATTTTATAAACGAAATGACAATTATATCAACTCATTTTAGGCCACACAAAATGTTTTGCTAACTCTTCCAAAAGAGTCTTTTCTGAGCCCCATTTCTAATCAGTTTCGACTCATTTTTGAATAGTTTTTGAGTAATTTTTAAGTGTAAATGTTGCTATTCATTACAAACAAAAACAATTACATAAGGAACAATTTTAGATTTTCCAACTGCTTGAAATATGACCACAAAATACATTTTTAAAACCATCATATTTTAAACACCAGGATGATAAATTTATGATTGCTATACATTTTGTTATTGTTTTTCAAATATTCAGTTTTCAATCATATATCGTGATCATTTTCGAGTCATTTTTTAAGCGCTCAACTTATTAATAACTTTTAGGTCATCAAAAGGAGTCAAAAATGACTCAGTTTACTGATTAATCATAGAACAATCTTCCAAATGCTAGCTGGGATATATATGTACATATGTATGTATTGTTGAAAATTACATTTCTTTATGTACAGTTTCTAACAGAAATAAAAACTATTTTTTTTCGGTTTTCCACAAACTAGGCCACAATACTCTAAAAAAAAAGTTTAAAATATTTACCATGGTGGCGAAAAACCTTCGTAATACTTCAAATAAAATTTGTTATATATTTTTATTATTTTTCTCTATGTAGTTATATTTGTGAATGAAAATTAAAGACAATGACTAAAACTACAACAAAAAATCTTGTTCATTTTATATATACAGCAGGCAGTTACTACAACCTGACAGTTTTGTTCCGAGAATTGTAACAAAATTAATATTTGCCAAAAACTTTTTTGAAGTTGTTAAGGTTCCTAACTGGAAAAATGTTTGTGAATTCTAGGAAACATTGTTGCATGAATAGCAAAGACCTAAAATGTCAGTTATTTTAAATTTAATTATTTAACAAAAATATTTCACAATGGAAACGTTTTGTTTGTGACAGATAGATTTAGATTTAAGTTGAAATCCAAAATAGTCAGGATTCGGTAGAAAATTGTTGTTTTGCATTATAGTCTATTTTAAGTACGTTTTTAAACGGTTCCGAATATGCTGCATCCCTGCTATAAAATTAAAGTGATTTTCATAAAGTGACCCCATATGTGGACTTAGATCTTTATGAATCGTTCGTTTTACTATTTGATGCAATGATTTACTAGATACTAGATGAAATTCAATAAATCATTATCATATATAGGACCTTTAAAGAGGGCGCTTTCGTGTGATTAATTTAAAAAAAAGAAAGATAATATCAACTTGAACAGAGAAAAACGTCGAGGCAAGTAAACTTAATTTTGGGCCGAAGAATCTAGTAGCATTCTCCGTTTTGAAAGGCTATGTCAAAATAATTGTCTCTAGAGCGATATCTCAAGTTAATGTGTTTGAAAATTATAACAATTTAACATTTTTCTAAAATTTATATTTACGCAGATCCTTGTTGATCATACTATGTTCAGAAGTTGACTTCCTTTATCAGACATTTTAGACTTTATTCCTCCTATTCTAAAATGCCAATGCTGGAATTAGAAACCTTTATGTGTTCCCCTTTTAAAAGTATGAGTATGTTAAAAATGTGTAATATTTGTTGTCTAAAAAGTGATTTTCTGAAAGAGGGGTTATATGGGGATAAGGGAAAATATAGGCTTATCCTTATAAATTTTAATATAGAAATTTACGTCTACATCAAAATTATTTATGCAGAATTTCATCGTGTTATTAGTGTTTATAAGTGAATATTGACCTTCAAGTCATTTTCTGAAGTTGTGTTTGTATGGGGACTAGGGTTAAATGAGGTCCGATCATTACGAAAATCGGCAGTATAATTTAGACTTTTTTAAAATTATGTTTTGCCGATTTTTGTTGAGATACTAGAACATATAACATAATTATGAGCTGAAGCGCCCTATTCTGGGGGTACAGTTGTATGGGGGCTAGGCGAAACAATGGATTGATTTTAACCATTTTCAATAGGCTTCGTCAGTTGTCTAGAGAAGAGTATGTGCCAAATTTCATAAAATTTTTTAAAATTGCGAACTATAGCGTGAACACAAGGTTTACATGGACACACAGACGGAAAGACAGACAGACAGATGCACGGACATGGCTTAATTGACTCAGAAAGTGATTGGTATACTTTAAGGTGGGAATAGGACGAATATTTTTGGGTATTAGAAACATCAGCGCAAGCGCATAATACCCTCCCCACTGTAGTAGGGTATAAATATACAAAATTCAGAAATACCAGCTGCTACGATAAAGTACCAAAAAGTCCATATTTAATTCCAATTTCATGTTTCTAGGTTGAATATTATAGAAAATTCAAAGAGTACCTTTTGATGAACAAAAAACGACCAAAAAGTCCCCTTTTAAAGATTATAATTTACTTCGGCCTCTACATGCTTAATTTAGTATTATAGAAAACTCAAAAAGTACCCGTAGAATAATTAAAAGTACCAAAAAATAGTTCTAGGTACTGAAGTTTCAAATAACAACCCATAAGCATATGAACGGTTATTAAATATAACAAATTTTAAAATTTTATTCAAACTAGCTCACGTTTTTACTCCTTTTTGGTACTTTTTTGCTTCACATTGACGAAATAAATTCTATTGCAGATATATTTTTGAACATGTTTTACTGAGATCAAGATTTTCCATCGCTGAGGCCCTTTTAAAAAAAGTATTTTTTTTATCAAGATAATAAAATTGTTATACACAAGTTTATAATTAATGAATTTCTAATGCTTACACAGAAGCTTTAATTATTTCTGACTATAAAGAGAAACAAAATATAAGATTCATAGTCCAGACATTAGTTAAAGTTCATAGTAATATTATCTATCTTCTATCTATATATATAAAAGAGTAGCGTCACTGACTGACTGATTCATCATCGCACAGCCCAAACGGCTGTACCTAGAATCATGAAATTTGGACAGTAGATGTGTTTTTGGTTATGTAGATCCACTAAGAAGGGATTTTTGAAAATTTGTACATTTACGGGTAAAAAGGGGAAAAAATGGTAAAACAGGTTTTCTTAATTATCTAACATAATATTAGTGATACACGAAAAATTTTAAATGCACCTGTATCTACTCTTAAAATGAGCAGATGGGTGTCTGGTACTTTTTGAAATTCGTACTTTTAAGGGGTAAAAATGTGTAACAATTGTGATTTTGGTACCTTTTTGGCCCTTTATAACTTTTGAACTAATTAACATAATAAAATTTTTATAAATATTTTGGATACATCTCCCAAAATTATGAGACACCTGTTTCGTATTTTTTTTAATATTCAGTCTTTTTTTGGTGTAAAAGGGAGAAAACTGTATTTATGGTACTTTTTTTAGCACATTAAGAAAACTTTTTCGGTTTATTGAATTATTCCTATTAAATTACGGACTAACTCTGTAATATTTATTGTAATAAAATTTTTGCTATTTCACTGGGGAAAAAAGTACCAAAAAGGGAAAAAAACGGGAAATTTAATTTTATTCAAACTCATTGAGCCAATTTTTATAAAATTTTAAAAAGTAGTTTATTTACTCACACAAAATAAGCTGTTGGTATATTATTTTGGAATTCGAGTACTAAAATCTATTTAGGACCAAATTCGAGTAAATTGTTTGGTACTTTTTGAAAGCACTATTTTTCTGGAACAAATGAATGCAGATTTGAATCGTTTGAGTTTTATCTGTCATATATAGTTTTACATAAGTACGGAACATTTTGTAAACTTAATACTCAAAAAAGTATATTTCTAAGCGAAAAGGGGAATTTGTACTATTTTTATTAGTACTTTCCACTAAGGTAGAATTTATTCCACTTTTGGTACTTTTTCATTATTCAAATGATACTCTGTATGTTCTATAATATGAATTCAAAACACATGATTATTAAACATACACGGTCCTCATTGAATAAGATTCTTTAAGAGAGAACTTTTTAGTACTTTTTATCTCATAAATGGTACTTTTTTAATTTTATAAAATATTCAACCTAGGATTATTATTTTAACATACAAGGTCTTGACTAAATAATATTCTTCAAATGGTACCTTTTACATTCTTTATAATTGTTAACCGGAACACACGGTTCTTATCAAATTAGAATTTATTGAGAGCGATTTTTGTACTTTTTCGTTTTTCCGATAGTACTTGTCGCTTGATGGCTCATCAATTTATTATTTTTATTTTCATTTAATTTAAAATATTTTTGTTAATTTAAATATTTTTTTTGTGGGCTATCCTAATGTTGTTTAATTTTGTCTTATTTACCAAATTGTTAATGATACTTATTGTAAGATCATTGTTGTTGTTTAGTTCATTTGTCCGTTAGGATTTTTTTTATATTGTTTTGCATTCCTTTCTGTTCTCATTTGTTTACGAACTAAACGCATTCTTTGTCCCTATATTCTACTGCAGTAGTTTCGTTCAGTTTATTTATTTGGAAATAAACTGTTGTAAAAATACATAGACAAAAGAATTTGTAGGCTCAGTATTAACTGACATTAATATTAAAGTTTAGTTTGTTGGGGATAAAGACTGCGGTAAGTCGCTTAAATTATTTATAAGTTTCTTTTGTAATAATTGTATTTTTTAATAGAAATAAACGGTTGCTCAAATATATGCATCATTAATTTCACATTTGTGGTTCATTTATTTGGGACTTGTTAAATTCGCTGTCCTCAACATAAAGGCTCAGGTCGCAGCCAGCGACAAATTTTATTTCGCATTCCTTGGTGCGGTTGTGTTCCATGTCTGCCGGAACAACGAAATTTATTTGAAATCTTGAGCGAAGGTGTTCCAAGGTGCCTGAACAAGATAAGCCTTTTTTTTGATTTGTGGTTCTAAGCTGCCGGAACAAATAAAATATTTTGGATTTTTGATTTGTGGTTCCAAGCTGCCGGAACAAATTGAAATAATTGTGAAGTGGTTCTATATTTGCTGGAACAAAGTGTTTAAAATAATTGTGTGCATTTTTGTGCTTCCTTATATGACGGAACGAGTAAAACTTTTATTAAGCTGAATTTGTGTGAAGTTATTTGCTGTCCTGCCGGAACAAATTTATTTTTTGTGAAATATTTGGAGTGTGTTGCTGTTTATTATTTGTGATTTGTGTGCCCTTTGAAAACGTTTGAGATTCGTAATGCAACGGTCGCCAGCTAGAAAAAGCACTCGTTTGCAGACGGCAACGAGCCAAAATGTGAAAAGTTCCACGCCTGCCGGAACTGAAAGTTTAGCAAATGTGTCTCAAATGCCGTCGGTACAAAATGTCAATTCTGTCGCCCCCGGAACAACAACAGCAACTAGTGCCTCCATAAGTGCCCCTAGAGAACCGACACCTGCCATATCAACGCATAACATTTTTAGTTCATCAATTGAAGAGCCCTTAAGTCTGCCGCCGTTGGTGCCCGGTCCTAATGCGAGAACCCAGCCACCACAAGCTATATCGTCTGATAATGAGAACCTGCAACGACAAATTGATATCCTGCAAGCCCAGTTGGCAAACGCTCAACGTGCTTTAAGAGCAAATCAAAATTTAAATATGCCAAGTGTTATTGGACAAAATGCGCCAGTAATTCAAAGTATGAGCAGTGGCCCTGAAGACATGGTTGATCGTCGGAATCCAACGCCATATTCCTATGGTAGTCAGTCAGACCAGTTGATGACATCTCAGCCTCTTTTTGTTTCCCCTGCTACAGTGTCCATGCCAGTACAACGCAAACTTTATGATCTGCCTGAATTTTGTGGTACTGCCGAGGACTGGCCAATGTTTTTGTCTGCCCTTGAACATTCGACAGCCGCATATTCGTACAATAATTTTGAAAATTGTTTGAGATTGCAGAAGGCTTTGAAAGGTGAAGCCAGAGAGTGTGTGAAGTCGTTGCTCATCCACCCAAATAATGTGCCAACAGTTATAGAGCAATTAAAGCTACAATATGGTCGCCCAGAGTTGCTTATTCGATGCCAGTTGCAACAGATGAAGGAAGTTCAGCCCATAGCAGAAAACGCGATCGATAAATTGGTGCCATATTCCATTAAGGTCAGAAATTTAGCAGCATTTTTGGAATCTGCCAATGGTCATCAACATTTGTCGAATCCAACTCTGATGGAGGAGTTAGTCCAGAAGCTTCCAATGAGTAAACGTTTGGATTGGGTCCAGTTTGCTTCAACTTTACCTCAGTTGCCGACTATTTCGGATTTTAGTACCTGGCTCCAGCGTGTTGCAAATTTGGTAAGAAGTGTGCAAATAAGTAGTTCAAGTAGCGGTAGATCTAGCAGTGATCCAAAAAGAAAAGTGGTTTTATATGCTTCTGATGGCCCAGAACGGCAGTTAAAATGTTTTTATTGTGTTGGTCCACATAAAATTTTTAATTGTAAGAAATTTATAGAATTGAGTGTGCCTAATAGATGGAGTGAAGTGAAGAGATTGAAGTTGTGTTTTTCGTGTCTCAGTGGTGGCCATTCATGTAAAGACTGTCGTCGGCGCAAGCAGTGTCCCATGGAAAAGTGCCAAAGAAATCACAATAAATTATTGCATGAAACTAAACCTAATGAACCAAGCGAACGATCCGTAAATGTGCAGCCAACAGAGAGATCTTCAACAGTCGAGCCAGTGCTTAGTTGTGTTTCCAGAGCTAGTGAAAAAAGTGATTTGTTGTTCAGAGTGCTCCCAGTGGTTCTTTATGGACCAAATTGTTCTATTGAAACTTATGCACTCCTAGATGAAGGTTCTTCGGTGACAATGATGGATAGCTCTTTAGTGAGGCAGCTTGGACTGCAAGGTCGACAAAGTCAATTGAATTTGAGTTGGTATGGTGGTAAATCAGCACAAGAAGCTGTCATGGTGGTGGATCTTCATGTGAGCGGTGTTAATAAGAAGAGGAAATACGCATTGAAAAATGTGTATGGTGTCTCGAATTTGAAGTTGCCTAGTCAGAGCTTTAATGCGGATTTAGTAAAGAATTGTGGTGTTCCTTTATGCTCCTATGAATGTGTGGCTCCAAAGGTACTGATTGGTTTAGATCATTGCCATTTAGGATTGCCCGATGAAATAGTCCCTTTGGAAGATGCTGGTCCATATGCTGCCAATACGCCTCTTGGATGGGTTGTTTTTGGAAACGTGAAAATAGGTCGCCCTGGAACACAAACTTGTTTGCTGACAACACAGTTGGATAATTTGAATAATTTGGTGGCAAGTTATTTTGAAACAGAAAATTTTGGTGTTAAGGCTCTACCGGTGATTGAGTCAAGAGATGATTTGCGTGCACGAGAGATATTGAGAAATTCGACGAAGAGGGTTGCCGGAAGATTTGAATCCAGACTACTATGGTGTAATGATGACGTAGTCCTGCCGGATAGCTATTCCATGGCACTTAATCGATTTTTTGGATTGGAAAGGAAAATGAAAAATAATGCGGATTTTGGTGTGGCCTATAAGAAAATAATAAGTGAATATTTGAAAAAAAATTATGTACGCAAATTATCATTGAGTGAAGTTGATACATTTCATCCGAGAACGTGGTACTTGCCCCACTTTGGTGTCGTTAACCCTAATAAGCCAGGGAAAATTCGTTTGGTGTTTGATGCGGCAGCAAAGGTGGAAGGTGTCTCATTGAATTCAAAGTTATTGAAAGGCCCTCAGCAGTACAAACCGTTGCCATCCGTTTTGTTTAATTTCAGAGTCGGTTCCGTAGCTGTATGCGGAGATATAAAGGAAATGTTTCATCAAGTTGTTGTTGCTGAAGAAGACAGGTGTTCGCAGAGGTTCTTGTGGCGAGATAATGAAAGTGGTCCACCGGAAGTGTATGAGATGCTTGTGATGACGTTTGGAGCTGCCTGTTCACCCTGTATTGCCCATTATGTGAAGGAAGCAAATGCAATGGAGTATCGGGATCGTTTCCCTAGAGCCGTGAAGTCAATTCTGGATCATCATTATGTAGATGACTTTGTAGACAGTTTTGTTAATCCGTCAAAAGCCATTGAAATTGCCGTACAAGTTCGTGAAATACATAAAGCTGCTGGGTTTGAAATGCGTAATTTTACATCGAATTCATCAGAGGTGGTTGTGGCTCTCGAAGGCAGTTTAAATCATCAGGTCAGTTTCTTAGGTGGCTTAAAGGAGTTGGACGGTTCAACTGAAAAGGTTCTTGGCATGCTTTGGGATCCAAAGGATGACGCGTTCAAATTTGTTTTGAAATTCCATCGTGTGAATTCGGACGTGATCAATGGTAAAAGTTGTCCCACAAAGCGTGAGTTGTTATGTGTCGTAATGTCCATTTTTGATCCAATTGGTTTTTTGTGCCATTTTATGATAACTGCCAAACTTTTGATGAGAGAAGTCTGGAGACATAGAGTACTTTGGGACGAGATGTTGCCCGTGTCATTACAAGCGATGTGGAATAATTGGCGCCAAGAGCTAAGAAATGTTGTCCATGTAAAGGTTCCACGATGGTATTTTGGAAATGGTTTGCCCTTGGAGTTAGAGCTGCATGTTTTTGTTGATGCCAGTGAAGATGCCTTCGGTGCAGTGGCCTATTGGAGATATACAACATCTGATGGACAAATAGGAGTGTCGTTTATATCTGCCAAGTCGAAATGTGCCCCATTGAAATGTATGACCATTCCCAGATTAGAACTACAAGCCGCCGTTTTGGGGACCCGATTGATGGACACTATAATTAAGGAACACGATCTCAATGTTTCTCGTCGAATCTGTTGGAGTGACTCTACAACTGTCATTAGCTGGATTGGTTCTGAAAGTAGGAGATATAAACCATTTGTTGCCCATCGAATTGCCGAAATACTTGATTCGACACGCCCAACTGATTGGAGATGGTTGCCTACGGATCTAAATGTTGCCGATGACATTACAAGAGCTAAAAATGAAGTTGATTTTGCCATTGAAACACGTTGGTTCCAAGGGCCACAATTTTTGTATGAAAACGAAGCTGATTGGCCGAATAAGAATTCTGAGAAATCTGATGATTTGTGTGAAGAAGAACTACGCCCCAAATTTGTCATGCTGGTTAGTACAAATTTAGTTATTGATTTTAATCGTTTTTCTTCATTTCTCAGGCTTAAACGTACTATGGCTTGGGTTCTGAGATTTATTAATCGTTGCCGAAAAGATGATAAATATAATGGTTCGAGATGCCTATCTGCTGAAGAGTTAAGGGTTGCTGAAACTAGTCTGTGTCGTCTGTCGCAAGAAGAGTGTTTCGCCCTTGAAATAAACATTTTAAAATCTGGTGGTTCTTTAAAAAAGGAAACCGAGTTATTTTCGCTTTCGCCTTATTTTGATGAAAATAATTTACTTCGAGTGAGCGGACGTATTGATGCTGCGAGTTGGTTGCCTTTAGATGCTAGGCACCCCATTATTTTGTCGCCCTGTCACCGCTTTGCACAACTATTTGTTGCCCATGTGCATAATAACATGAGACATCAAAATCTTGAGGCTACCATAGGCGAAATAAGGAAAAGGTTCTGGATTCCACGACTACGAAAGCTGTTGAGTAAGACCACATCAAATTGCAACATTTGTAAGATTCGACGTGCCGTTCCAGTGGCTCCTTTTATGGGATCATTGCCAAGTGATAGACTAACTCCATACGTCCGTCCATTTACTTATACTGGTGTGGACTATTTTGGCCCAATAAACGTGACTGTTGGTAGACGTCATGAAAAACGTTGGGTTGCCCTGTTTACGTGCCTCACAATCAGAGCAGTACATTTAGAAGTGGCTTATGATCTTTCGACTGATGCGTGTATTTTGTGTATACGGAATTTTATAAATCGTCGTGGCACCCCGTTGAAGATTCGTAGCGACAACGGAAAGAATTTTGTTGGAGTTAACCAAGAAGCCCAGCGATTTGATGAAGTTTTTGATCTTGTTAAAATTGAAGATGAGTTGTCCACAAAGGGCATTGAATGGCAGTTTAATTGTCCACATAATCCTGCAGAAGGTGGTGTATGGGAGCGAATGGTTCAATGTGTTAAAAAGGTTTTAAGAGTAACTCTTAAAGAAGTCGCCCCAAAAGAGCACACATTGCAAAGTTTTTTAATTGAAGCCGAAAACATCGTAAACTCTCGCCCATTGACTCACTTGCCTGTCAGCCCTGAAGACGAAGAACCATTGACGCCAAATCATTTCTTGTTGGGATCTACAAATACAGCTCAAACACCAGAAGGTATTGAAATAACAAAGCCAGTGGTACTGAAAAAGCAGTGGCGAATTGCTAGACAGCTACGAGATCATTTCTGGAAAAGATGGATTATTGAATATTTGCCCACACTTACAAGACGGTCCAAATGGTGTGAATATACCAAGCCTGTGGCTCCGGGTGATCTTGTACTAATTTGTGATCCAGCTGTTTCCCGTCGAGATTGGAAGAGAGGTCGTGTCATAAATGTGTTCCCTGGCAGTGATGGTGTAATACGGAGAGCTGATGTCCAAACAAGTAGTGGAATACTTAAACGCCCGGTTTCCAAACTAGCAGTCCTTGATTTGGATGGTGAATCGTTGCCGATCCACGGTGGTGGGAATGTCGCCTGATGGCTCATCAATTTATTATTTTTATTTTCATTTAATTTAAAATATTTTTGTTAATTTAAATATTTTTTTTGTGGGCTATCCTAATGTTGTTTAATTTTGTCTTATTTACCAAATTGTTAATGATACTTATTGTAAGATCATTGTTGTTGTTTAGTTCATTTGTCCGTTAGGATTTTTTTTATATTGTTTTGCATTCCTTTCTGTTCTCATTTGTTTACGAACTAAACGCATTCTTTGTCCCTATATTCTACTGCAGTAGTTTCGTTCAGTTTATTTATTTGGAAATAAACTGTTGTAAAAATACATAGACAAAAGAATTTGTAGGCTCAGTATTAACTGACATTAATATTAAAGTTTAGTTTGTTGGGGATAAAGACTGCGGTAAGTCGCTTAAATTATTTATAAGTTTCTTTTGTAATAATTGTATTTTTTAATAGAAATAAACGGTTGCTCAAATATATGCATCATTAATTTCACATTTGTGGTTCATTTATTTGGGACTTGTTAAATTCGCTGTCCTCAACATAAAGGCTCAGGTCGCAGCCAGCGACAGTACTTTTTGATATTTTTACGATATTGAACATACATATTGAAAATAAAATTTAAAATGTAAGGACCTTAGTGAATGAGAATCTACTGAAAAGGACTTTTGGTACTTTTCATTCATTCATCAAACTATATTTTTTGAATTGTATATAATATTGAACACAGAAACATAAAATTTTTGATTAAATATTAATCTATTAGAGGTATTTTATAGTACTTTTTTTCAATAGTACTTTCGCATTCAGCTTCTTACTGAATGCGAATTTAATCACGTGATATTGAACGTATAATCAATTTTAATTTGTTT